AATAGAAGAGACAAGAATCATCGTCCTTTACCATTTTTATATTCCGAGTACATGGAAATTCCTAATAAGGATCGAAATAAATTAGGATTTCGATCCTTAATTATTGAGGAGGTGCATAAGAATCACAAGAAGGTGAAGCAACACTTTTATCGTCCTTTACCGTTCTTCACATCAAATCAGCGTGCCATCATTTAATTCGACTCCTACGTTATTTTAACATTAATAAGGATGAAAATTTAGTAGAATCCTACACCCAATTACTTTTATATCCTTAATTAATGCGGGAATAAAACAGTGAAATAGTAATTTGAAAAAAAAATTGCGGCTTTATTTCTTACTACCAAAGAAACATTGACTAAAACTAGGGCTTAAGTTCTAGACAAGAAGTTAATTGAGGATGAAGTGAATGATGGTTTCGTATTTTAAATAATTAATTATTTTTAAAAGCGAGAAGAATAAGAAAAGGTGTCAAGAAAATGAATGGGGTTGATAAAAAAAAACGAGGGGGGCAACTATCTCGAGTATGGATTTATTAAGAAATTATTCTAGTAGAGACGAAAATAGAAAGTTAGCTTTTACCTTTTATTATTATTATAAAAATTATAAATTAGAAGAATGAGAAGAGAAGAGGGGGGAAGATAGAAAGGAAAATGAATGTTTTAAAAAGGAAAAAAACAACGAAGAAAGTTAAAAAATGTTCGAGAAGTGTAGGAAATATATCAAGCGCTCCTAGAAGTACATTATAATAAGAGTTTGTTCGTGAATGAGTGGATAGCCTCTCAATCACATGACATGCAAATCACATGCAAGGTGAAGGAGAGAAGATAAATCATCCCAGCTATCTGTCCAATGGATCTTTCTTCATTAAAGCCGGTCGCTGGACTCAATGATGTAAATTGGCTAGGAAGGAATGTTATTTATGGAGTGGTACCACTGATATATAATAGGAGGAAAAAAACGAATACTGTATAATATGAAAATTTCCACTTGTTACATTGTTAATTTTACTCCAGAAGGGTTGAAAGTTTAAAGGAATTTCCAGGGGGGGGACGAGCGGTAAGTCTGTTAAAATCCAATCGGTTTTATGGTTAGGAGCACGTGCGAGCGTGTGTGTTAGTGGACGTTGACCCTGTTGGATACTCGCCCTTCTTCCATGGCTAGGGTCGTAAATATCCTCCATTAACTGTTAGAGATTCTTTAGTGCATTGGAGGAGGTTTTGGGCGCAAGAACCGATGTATGATAATTACTAAGTTGATATTTGCCAATGCGTGCGTGAGGCGTTACGTGTTACTCTCCTACCGGATCACTACCATAAAAATATACGTTATGAAAAAAAAAGTTATTAATGCAGATAGTGATGGTTACTCTTTGCTTTGCGTGGAATTTTACCAATCGATTATATTTAAACGGGCGTAACCTATTTAGATTGTTTGCTAATGCTGCACGCACTACCTAACTGGAGTTTCTTTGAAGGTCCCCCTAGATAGATGCTTTATTTAAGTTGTCAACTTCTCTTGGGATTCTCTGCTCCAAACTCAGAAGAGAATTTCTTTTAAACAGATTATTTTTGTGTGGATCTTTATCGAGGAAGTTCTGTTTTCTACGACGATCGCTCCTGTTAAGAACAGGAGAAACTACGTAATTTTTTTGTATTTTTTAAAAATAAACTGGTGAGGCGATCCTTCTATTTTTTAAGGACTCGAAAATACGATCCTGAAGGACTCGAAAATACAATCCGAAGATTCCTCACCCGAAAACCAAGAAGATCCTCCTGAAGGAATCAGTCTCGTAATTAAATAAAACTTTAATTTTATTGAGGAATTTATCCGCATCCTCATCTTTAAAGAAATTAGGGGGGTAAGAAATTCACAAAAAAGCACATCCCAGTCCCGATTGATTCTTCACGTCAGCAATCTCACTACAAGATAAGATATGACATATTTTGCAAGGCAGAAAGTTTATTTTATTAAGGGGGGAAACCGTTGCAATTTTCGAGATTTCTGGAAACAAAGAGCGGATGTCAATGTTTGGAACCTTTGCAATTATTATGTATATATTCCGCTTAAGTGAAATTGTCTACAAAATTTCGAGGATTGGCTGAATTCCAAAATTCAGACTTTTCTCACATTTTCTGTAGGAGAAGCCAAGCATGGAAGTTAAAAGACGTGAGTCGGCAAACATTCCGGAAGGGCATTTCCATTTTTACATGAATTTGTCAGCCGAAAAAACGATATTTCATTGTGCAAAACAAGCGAACAAATTTGACGTCATCATATTTCCCCCTCCCCCTTTTTTCTATTCTATATTTAACCACTGGAGAGATTTGTTTTCTCTGATGCTTCCAGTAACACTACGCTGAAGGGTAAGGGGGGGTGTTTTTCCTGAAATTCTAGCGTGTCGAGTTAATTTAAAATGATTCAGCTAGCATTATAATCTGTTCGATATTGGAAAAAATCTATTGAAGATATTTGGAAGTAAATAAATAAATAAATAAAAAGTAATATTAGAAAGAAACTTTGGAGATTTTCTAGATCAAAATCGCTTTAGAAATGCAAAAAAGCGTGAGTGGGATGTGGCATTTCTTTTCAAATTTTTCCACATTTTTTCGAATTTTGAATCAAACTTGGTAGAAAACTGTCTACAGACGTCATCACTTTGCAAAATCCCCATCTAGAAGCAGTCCATTTCGTTCTTTACTTTATAACACGACCGTCAGTAGTGGGCTTTACTCTTGCATCCTCCACCCCTCCAAGTAGTTTTTTCCCCCTGCCGCTTCTTCTTCTTCTTTTTTTTAGAGTAAGCCCATTCGTTTTTGTGCTGCACAAACGTGCTGCAACTTCTATTGATCGGATTAGATAACTTACTTAATCTCATCAGAGTTGGGGATGGATTTACATTGAGAAAAATGCTTTTACTCGAGTACATGTAAGCATTTTTAACATCTCTTCAACATGTATCGATCCCCCGAGTTCTAGAGTATAGTTTTCGTACTAGATGATAAGAAAAAAAGTTTTTTTTGGAAGATTATAAAGGTATAATTTCGAGTTTTTCACGTGTTAATCGGTGAAAATCTCCTCATCCTCATCCGCATCACTTAAGTGATGCGGATGAGGATGCGGAGGAGTGTCGAAAGATTTAATTTCTATCAGTTTTTTTCGTGTTTTTAGAAGCAGGAAAAATATGGAAAAGGAAGTTTTTGAACTTCGATTGTACAGTGCTGCGGTTTTTTTATTCTATTTTTTGCTCAATTTTTATAAAAGTAACGCGATATCTTACATTTTGATTATATTTCATTGCTTCTATCCATTTTTCCGTCTAAAAAAAAAAGATGCATTCGGATTGAATTTCTACACTTTTTCTTTAACAGAAAAACATAAAATAGAATTCTCTCCACTACTGAATTTAGAATAGTTTATTTTCAGAAATTTTTTCCCTTTATTTTCCTTAATTTTTTCCCTATTAATTTAATCATTTCGAGAGGATGAGCAGCGAAAAAAAGTAGCGAATTCTTTTAAATTTCGCTTCCTCCTTTTTAAATTTAAGGTTAGTAAAACAAAATAACGTTTGAGTAAAAACCGAAGTGACGTCAAAAATTTAGGAGCCCTCTTACAGCCACTAAAGCGAAGTAGTTTCTCAGCTGTGGCCCATTAAATCTCTCAAGGCGCTATATGTTTCCAAACACCTGACTGGCGGAATTCAAAACTGCGTCCACAACCACATGGGAGGTCCCCTGGTAGCTTTCCTACCGGGGATGCCAAACGTATTGATCCTCTACTACTAAATCTCCTGGCAGCCATCGCGTTAAACATCAGGGGTCTTCGCACCTGTGTTTGCTATGCGGTAGGCAGAGCGGCTTCTCTTCCTCTATACCTACCTATTCTATATAATTAAACGAATTCTGAAGAGGTTTACGCTTTCAAAGTACTGTAAAATCCCTGTCGGATACGTCGCAAATCCAGTTGGTTCATATCAGAATTATGAAGATGGAAAAAATAATTTCTATCAACACGTCTTGCAATGTTTACAACTTGTAGAAAAATGTCTTTACAGAGGATAAAATAAGTAAACTTACGTCTTGAAAAGAAAATTTCTAGACAAAGAAACGTTGGAAAACTCCACTTTTAATAGAATTTTAAGAATTTCCTACTCAGAAATACTCTAGAATCTTATCCACATCTCTATTCTAGAATTTTTTTTTTTTTCTTCCTCCCTTCTCTTCTTCTGTAAATTGGTAGATTTTTATGATAATCACCACTCGACTCGATATCATAAATGGAAAGAAGTAGGTCGCAATCAATAACATCTCGTCTCCAGTTGCATAACTTTGCACAAAATCGAGTCTAAGTCCATAACAAAACGAAAAGGTTTATAGCTGAGCAAACATACATCGAGTACAATAGGAGATGCACTTAATGTCTTTCAACATTTTCACTAGAAAATGGTTGCACGTTTAAGAACGTAGTGTTTGCCATGCTTCTTCCAACTTTGATGTCATCTTTATTTTTTCTGTTGACAGCTCATATATATATATATATATATTTTACTTCGTGTCGTGTGAAATTTCACTTCTATCTTTGTGTACATCCCTTTTAACATTCCATCAACCAATGGGAAAATATTTATTTGTTGCCTTTTTCACCCAGCTGTGTTTAAGATTTCATTCTTTTGCTCCGGGCCATATTCTTAATGTGAAAAAGTGGTTGTAAAAACGACGTTGGCTGATTCTTAATGCTGCTGTGCGAAAATTTTTCTTCTTCTTCTTCTTCTCCTTCTCCTCCTCCTCCTCCTCCTACCGGTTCCAATCGTGATTTTTCTTAAATGTTCCCAACACGTAATGGGGCTCGTAATTCAAAAATACTCTACCCCACTTTAACCGAAATTTGCGTAACTTACGAGTTAATGATGCAAATATCTCGCAGCTTGCCAAATTTGAATGTAGTAAAGCTGTTGTTTACGTTTATAAGACCCTGTAAAAGTACTTTTTTTTTCTTCTTTCTAGTTAGAAATGGCTACTCGTGTGTTCCTGTTGCCTTAGCTGAAGGACTCGATATTAAATTGAACACTACTGTAAAGCAGATAAGATACGGATCTCATGGTAAGTTTGAAGAATTTTATATTGTTATAGGTGTTAAGAGACTAAAACGATTTTTAAAAAATTCCATTAATAATTAATTTTTGAGCCTTCTATATCGTACAGTATCTAATAAACACCAGTCGGTGGGGGGTGACGTTCGAGGATACAGAATGACAACCTTTCCAGCTAATTTATATCATTGTACAAGGCTTTGAGGAATTAAAATTAATAGAAATTTCGATTAATAAGTAATTTTTAAGCATATTTTGAATCGAATTCCTTCCCTACTGTACCCCCAATTAGTGGGGGTGATCTTCAAAGGAGTAGAACTCCAACCTTTCGAGCGAAGGAAGAGAAACGAGAGCAACGTCTAAGTTAAAGAAAATTGAAAAATCGATATATTTTTAAAATGAATTTACTAATAAAAAAAAGAACAGAAAGAGAAAGAAAAGGAAAAAAAAATAATATATATATATANTACGCTATATATATATATATATATATAAGGTTTTCGAATTTTTATTTAGCAATTTAGAGAGATAAATTAGTTAGAATCATACGTTTTTCATGAATTTATGATAAGCTGCATGGCTGGAAAAAACTGTTATTTTTCCATGGTTCTTGACAGGAAGATAACCGTGAAGACACCCGAAACTCGGATAGTCCAACACTTTAAACCGTATTTTTCTCTAGCAGCCGATATTAAAGCTTAGACGAGTTGGTGTTATACGAGATTTACAGCATCTTTTTATAGGGAGACAGGCAGAAAAATGATGACATCACGTGACCCGGCCATAGTTATCACACGCGAAGCATGCACGAGAAATTGTAGTTCGGCTTTTACTTCTCCATTGGGTCCATGAAAGATTCACTTTGACGGAACAGTTTTGTGTGATGTCAACATCCAATGTGCACGCACCATTCCGTTTTAAGAAAGTTCTGTATTTTGCTTTAGGGAATATATACATATACGTCTTTCTTTTATTTCTTTTCAAACTTTACTCGTTTATTTTCACGAAAATAAAACGAAAGAAATGTTAAAATGTCTATTCACGTGTTAATTCAAATTCTTTTTTTTCTTTTTTTTGCCATTTCTATGCATGGATAAAAGTCGTCATCAATGGGAATCGAGGAGAAGGATCTCTTAACTCGAAGCACCCACCGATCGATGGGTTTTTTGAAGTATTTCTAATGAAAATTTTTGTGTATTTTATAAAAAAAACACAATATTTTCTAAGTTGGTTCTAATATTTACGCGTGGTTTAACTTAAGAAAGTTGTCTTTTTTTGTGTTTTTATTAGTAATTGAAACGTTGATTCTTCGCTCGAATTCTTCGACATCCAACGGGATTTTCAGTATACTTCTTCATTATTATCTTCAATATATAAACTCGCAGAAAGGATATTTCTTCTTCTTTTCCCATTTTTTCTCCTTATTTAGAGCTGCAGCTTCCATTAAGAACCGAAAGGAAAACATTCTCCTCACGTATTTCTTCCGTTCTTGTTTGGTTTCCGATATCAAGAAATGCCAGAGGACTTTAATCTTCTCTACCCCTACGCTGTAACACGTCTAGTAAATCTATATTAACTTCTATTTTTCAGGTGTAGAAGTGCTGGCTTATAACACCCGTGCCAATACGGGAATGGGTAGTTACAAGGGTGATGCCGTCATGTCGACTCTACCTCTTGGTGTACTGAAACAGGCGGTACAGGGAAGCCAGAATGTTCCAAACACAGTACAGTTCGTACCACCCCTACCGGATTGGAAAGTATCAGCCATACAACGTTTGGGGTTCGGTAATCTGAACAAGGTAAGATGTATCTAGATAACTGTTTTAATGCCCCTTTATCTGTAGACGTGTCTGGTGTAATGGAAGGGACATCTGTACTGGTCAGTGAATCAATCGTAATGGTAGATAAACGACATGGTAGATACGTGTCGCCTCCTAATGAATCTTCTCCCGATCGTGAGTGGAAACTATAAATTTTCCTGTGTTTCCACTCTATCTAGAAACTAAAGGGGATACTTTAAATTATCGTCTCGCTATCTTCTACTGTGTTTTTTTTTTCTTTATTTTTATTTTTCCTGTATCAAATTTTCTTCTTAACTTGTACCTAGGCCCTGTATAAGCCTCTGTTTTTATCGATTGTAGCAACTTGTTTGCGTTGCCTGGATAAACTTCTCACTCGCTCTTCTTTTATCGGTAGGTTAGAGATTTACGAGCCAGACACGTGAAGGGTAAAGGGCCTCGTGCGGGATTTCTCTGCCATTTCGACTCCACCGCACCCTCTTTGCTACTGATTTTTTGGTGTTATTTACTGTCTAACCGCGGATACAACGTTCTGAAGGAGCGTTATAACGGTGGAATGTACCGTACGTAAGATAAATTTCCCCCGTTATAACGCTCCTCCAGGCAAATTTTAAATGGAAACGGTAGCGTTATAGGAAGAAAATTTTTACCTCATTAAATACCAGGAATTCTGTAATTTTAATTCGACTTTAATAGGAGCTTAACATAGAAGAGGGAGTACGTGATTCTCTAGTGATGCGGCAGATGTAACGGTGATTTTTTTCGTGTATTAAATCGTTATTTTCGAGCCAAAAATAGAATTATATATTAGAAAAAAACGTAGCAGAAAGGATATTTTACCTCTTCTAAACCAGTTCTGTATTCGGTTAGGCGGACAAATAATAGAATTTCTATAATAAAGTTCGATAGAAAGCAGTATAATAATAAGACAGTGAAGAGGACAGAATTCAACAATAAATAAATAAAAGAAATGCCTTCTTTTTTTCAGGTTGTTTTATGCTTCGATCGAGTCTTCTGGGATCCCAATGCCAATTTATTCGGTCACGTCGGTAGTACGACCGCCAGCAGAGGAGAGCTCTTTCTGTTCTGGAATCTGTACAGGGCACCTGTACTGTTGGCACTGGTTGCCGGAGAAGCCGCCGCCATCATGGAAAACGTCAGCGATGACGTCATAGTGGGTCGATGTTTGGCCGTACTGAAAGGCATCTTCGGTAACAGCGCCGTACCACAGGTTAGTAAGCAACCAAATTTCCAGTTACGTAACTTAAAAAAAATGCAATATCCCATTCGTCAGAAGGTTGTAAATTATATTAAGAAAATGGAATTTAATTGAAAATTAGCATGTTTAATAGGAGAAAAATTTAAATTAGAAAAAAAAAAATATATATATAAAACAGGAATTAATATTAAGGAGTTATTAAAATGCATGGCTTCTGTGATGGCTGGAGGCGCAAGAGTTTATTCATCTGGAAAGGAAAATTTGCCATTTAAACATCAGAAAAATTTTGAAAAATACTCCCGAAATTATCCTGACGTTTATATTTTCATCGTAAGGATAATCCTTTATTTATTATTATTTTTTTTAAATTATTAATTCTTAACTTTATCCGGGGTAAAGGTTGCTTGTTCTTCAAAAGTTGTCAAGTTGTTGATGCTAAGCAGTTTCCTTCTCTTCTTTAACTTGACATGTTTTGGCATCGGTGCTGAATTTAATTTTAAATTGTCACTGAATGACAGAAAGAATTGAAATGCCGTACACACGCAGGAAAAAAAATATGTGTAAATATATAAATTTGATGAGAAAATTAATAAAAAAAAAAGAGTAGGGGAAGAAATACCGCTCGTTTTTTGAAGGGTGGTTGCTTCCTAAATCCTCCTCCTACCATTATTTTGTATAGGATTATGTGTTTAATATATAAAACTTTAGATCCTTTTGCTGCTAGAATGAGCTAGATAAAGTCTATTATCCTTTGAGTTGGGGTGGAGGAATGAAGTAAACTATCAGTCGAACAAATTGCGTGTATAGTTTTGAAGTTAGGTGATCCGAGGATTTATCTTTGGAGAGAAGATGTACTTTATAATTCCGGTTACTCTCTTGATGGATTTTTTTTTCTGTTTTGGAAAAGTTAAGCCTTAGTTTTCATGGGGAGAACTTTATAAATCCCATTTTTCCAAGGTTGTTTCTATGCTGAAGAAAGTTTAGTACCTCTTAAGTTGTGTAGCATAATTAAGATGCATCCGTATCATGGAGACGGATGAACCATTTGGAAAGTTTGTGACTTTTAACGAGTCGATTCTTTCTTTCCAGCCCAAAGAGACTGTGGTGACTCGATGGAGAGCCGATCCTTGGTCACGTGGATCCTATTCCTACGTTGCTACGGGATCTTCCGGTAAGTACAGTACATTCCCCTCCCCCCTCCGTAGATTAACGCGCGCGACATCTGGCAAGAATGACATCATCGCATTAATGGTGCTACAGATAAGGGAGAAGGGGATGTAGTAGAACGAATTTTGCTGTTAATTGTACTCTTGGCTCGTGGCTACTTATTGATTACCCTGTTCTTCCTTCAGGTAACGATTACGACATTCTGGCCACCCCAGTCACTCCTCCATCTGTGATACCAGGTACGGGCCAAACCGCTATATTACCTCGCCTCTTCTTCTCCGGAGAACATACTATCAGAAATTACCCAGCTACCGTGCACGGTGCTCTACTGAGTGGATTGAGAGAAGCTGGAAGAATTGCTGACCAGTTTCTCGGATGCCCTTATGCCCTCCCTCGTCAACCTGCCACTACTCAACCAGTATGACTACGTGACACGTTGCATCATTCCAATGTGGCAAATGCCGAGTAGGCTTTGACAATACACCGAAACTTTCACTTTTTACCTTGTTTTCTTGTCCATTTTAGAGAACTAAATTAATAAATGTGCGTGTTTTTTTTAAATTCTTTTCTTTGTTTGTGATTAAATTAACATAAAGACGTGTGAAACTCGAGAGGAAATTACTCACCTTTCGTTCGTGGAATTATCGAGATGTGAGCAAAGTTTAGAGAGAGTATACGAAGAATTACCTTATATATGTATATTTTTTTTATGGCAAGGGAAGAAAAATGGCATAATTAAACGTTACGTATTCGCTCCGGACGATTTAACTATACTCTACTTGATAAATTTGAATGCTTTTAAAAGAAACATGAGATGCAGCTGGAGGTAAAGAAAGTAATTCTTTCTCACATACATTGAACAAACTCGATTTGCAGACTGCAGCTTTTGCGGTTGAGAAATCACCCCAGACAACATACCTTGACACTAAAATATCCCCCTACCCGGATCTTCCCTTTGCTTCCATCAATAATGTACAACGAGCTACCTCTCCGACTAATAACCAGCTTCTACTTCTTTCTAACGCAATTTTGTTGCTGTAGTAGTAGTAGTAGTAGTGTGCGCGTGTGTATGTGTGTGTGCATACACACGAACACACGTATATACACACCAAACGGAATTTTAAATCTTTTTGCTTTGTTCCTACTTTACTGTGTTGTTGCAAATGAGATAAAACTATCTTCTTCTCCTTCTCCTGCTCCCCGTTATCTTCGATTGCACAAGAAAGGGGATTAATCTAATCTTTGATTGTGAGGTAAACACGGCGATTAGAGAAAAACAGATCGTTTTGAATTCTACTCGGGAAATCAATTAGTCTTGGTAAACAGTAGTTAGTTTATTTCCAAGGATTACCTAATGGATTAATGATGTTATGCAGTGGCGTGCATTTGCTTCTTTAAACTTCATACTCTTCCCTCTCACGGAACTTGAATCGTTTAATTTTTCTCATGAATATTCTTCTACACCTTCTCTTCTTTCGTTTAATACCTACTTTTGTGCTGCACTCCGATCTCGTGCTTTTATTGTAAGAATTTATTACGTAATACCACCGATAATTCTATTATTATATAAATTTAACCTACAAATGTGATTCGTGATTCATGCCATGCTTTTATCTTAACAATTTGTACCGCAGAAACAATCACACTTCGGTTATATCGTAACATAGATGCGATCTGTGTAGGCTTTTGCCGTGCTATTATCGTAACAATATATTTCACAGGAGGCTCGTAATTCCGTTATTGTACAGTTTAAAGCCAGAATTCGCCGTAACTCCAGAAAATTTCCACGTGCTACTACCGTAACAATTTGCGCTTTCGGCTTTTACAGTTTCAACCGCCGATTTCACGCCACTCTTAAAGAATTTCGTCGATTATTTACGTAACAATTTGTACTACGGCAGAACAGTTTCTATTTCGATTTTACGTGATTCCTGGAGATTTTAACGCTCGTAGGCCGTGCAATAAATAAAAAAATCACCCCCTAAAATAGTCCACTGCATCAAGTTACGTATTTATTGTGATCGTTTAGCGATCGGAACCCGTTTATAGCGCCGTGTGGCGTGAATCGTTAACGTTTTTAGTGCGCGCGCTTTATATGCAAAAGGGGGGACGTTAGCGTGATGTCTCCCTTTACGCCAACCGGAACTCGAAACCCCCGCATCACGTGACGAGCTTATGCGTGCGGTTTTTAATAAAGGGGACGAAAGTTACGAGTTCTTCAGCGTTTTATTTTTATGCTTTCCTCCTCATCCTCTTTCTCCTCCTTTTTTCTATTAGCGGATTTACAGTTTACAACTTTCGACACACAATTTTCGACTTATTTTAAGAAAGTGGCATTTTTGGGACGGAGCAGAAATGTTGCAATTTATTTTCACAGTTTCTCGAACACAGCAACAACAAGAAAAGAGTAAAAAAGAAATTGTTACTTTCGAAAGAACGAACCAAACTCTCTCCCCCTCTCTCTTTCTCTCTCTCTCTCTCTCTATCCCTCTCTCTCTCTTCTCGCTGTTCCCCCTCCTCTCTCTTCTCGCTCTCCTCAATAAATTACGATCTGGAAAAGTGCAGCAGTCGACATTCACAGTCGAACAAATTGTAGAGAATACAAGACGGACGATGCTGAGACTTGCCATTCTGTATAGGAAGTGTCACATATATATATCGAGTCTAGGAACCGGTGGGGGTGGAAGAAGTAAAGGCAATGCGAGAAAAGGAAAGAAAAATAAAAAAATAAAAAACTAAAAAGAAAAATCGGACAGCACTTAAGCGATTAGGTGACCACAACATAAAACTTATGTGATGTAGAGGAATTGAATTGGAAGTTGGAAGCGGTGAATTGATTCTCGGTACAGAAACACGCCACTATGGCGACAAGATGTGTGTCCTACTACTGGGAATCAAAAATATTTTCTACTTTTTTTTTTAAATAAAAAAAAACACTGGTATACAACCGCTACGCCGGTAGAAATTGCCGTCTTTTCTAGTCTCCTCCTCTCTCGCTGCTTATATACACTACAAAGAGATGCAAGATGTAAGATTTAAATGATTTATTTTAGTAGATTTATACGAGATATAAGAGAAATTTTCTTAAATCATCCCCCCTTATTTACGTTTCGAGTGATGTCGTTTCGTATAATGTGAAAAATTTCATCTTTTCGGTTCTCCAGGGAATGCATACTGGTCGGGGTATAAAGCTCTTAAAATTTTTGTTGAGGAAACTAAATCATTCGAGTTTCACCGAGGGAATAGCGCGTGGAAATTACTTTCGCTCTCTGTCGAGCGTATAACTGTTTCTAAGAATATCTGGTTAGTGTTGAAGCGAGTGAAAAGCTTCTCTTCTCCGGTAAACATGTCGGTGACTGAGATGAAATTTAAACAGGATTGCTTCTATTGGCTTAAACAATGCGACTCGATTCTCGTGAGGGTGGCTTTGAAGTCTAATTGCCGTGCTTTTCCCCTCCCTCTCTCTCTCTCTCTCTGAAGGGAGTGTCAATATAAGATTATTTTTCTTTTGTTTTCTTTAGGATTTAAAGAGAAAAAAATGCGCGATTCTGCGTATCAGGAATAGCGATGAAGTTCGTCTTCACCGCACTACATGTGGTAAGTGCTTCAGTTTTTGGCGATTTTTTGGCTCGCAAACACTAGGAATTGGTGCTTCGAGTGCTAATTTTTGTAAACGACGATCTAGAATATCACATTTCACCAATTGCTACGGAATTCGGCGCCCTCGCCCTTCGCAAAACTCGCTCCGTGTGATTGCTGATCTTCACGTTGTTAGTCCTCCTTAATCAAAGTGGAATCTTGTTTATAATATCTTATACTGTATAAAAATAAAGTCTAAACATGGTTTATTAATGATTTCTCGTGTTAAACAACCCCTACTGTTAAATATATTGGGCGGGGGTCGGGGAGGACAAAGCGTTACTTTCCTAAGTGGCTGCGGTCAAATGCCAGAATGCTGATAATGTGACGAATTGTTATAAGAGGAATGGCTTTAAGAAAGGGAAGAGAGCTAATGTAATAGACAGGTAGAAGGAAGGAGGAGCAAAAACAACATTGACCATCAAAGCAGAGCCGACCCTGTTTTAAGTAGGATAGGTGATAGATACCCTGATGCGTCCCCTGACCTTGGCATGGGTTGAAAGTCCTCTCCTCGCCGTCTTGTCAAGAGAAGAGATAAAGGTTATAGGGCATGATGATGGGGAAGAGGGGTGTTTAGTATGCAAGCAACGAATGGCCCCGCTTGATATTTTGGAATGCCCGATCTTAGTAGGTACGGCACTTTCTCTTATCCTAATGGGCTTATTAGTCATTGACGTCAAACATGCGCCCAAGTAATGCACTTTCAATCGCATTTAATAACGTAATCACAGCACGTGATTGGGTATCCGTATAATAGCGCCATTTCCTCCCCTAGGATATCAAAAGCGCGTCGATTAATCACGCGATTTTTTTTTCTCTTCCTTCATATTCATAATCAATTATTTATGTCACCCCTTACGATAATGTGACTTTTGAGACTACAGTGTGAAGCACAGAAGCGTGGCATTTCTCGTGTCATGTGATTATCGTACATGATTTACGAGCTTCCCGTTTCATCGTGTGATTCCATGCCAGAATTAACTCCATTTTTTTCCATATTGTTACGCGATTTTTCGCTGAGCAATCACGCGATTTCAGGAAAATTATTCACTACTATTTTTTTATTATTTTTTCCACGTTAAATTAATGAATAGTCCGTGTGTCTGGACGGCTTCGTACGTTGTAAATGTAATTTTCACTCACTTCTCTGCGTAAAATCGCGTAAAAAATATTATTTTACCTTCTTATTTAACAAATATTACATCTAATAATTGCCATACTGGATTCTCGTTAGGTAATTGTAGCCTATAGGCAAGTGAAGAGAGAGAGGAGAGGTAGAGAGAAGAGAGAGAGGAATGTTTTCTTCCACTGAAAATTAATTAAGGATTATTACTGATTCTAAAATAAATTGAATTTTTTCTGTCTATTATCTAAAATTAATTATGGTAGAAGTTTAATTATCAGTTTTAGTAAAAGTCTCGAGATGTTTACTTCTTGGGGGATTAGTCAGAAAAAGAAGAAGGAAGAAGGGGGAAAAAAGGACGACTCCGCCCGATTTTTTAATACTAAATTGGGTGGAGAAATGTGAAAAGGTGGCGAAGACTTCGCTCCACCCAAATTTGTGCAGGTTTTTTCTAACACCGGTCACCATTTTTTGGTGTTTTTCCTTTTTTTTAAACACTACTATCTGAACTCGATCTGAAAAAGTGATGATCTTTACGTCGTCTCCGCCCAATTTTACGAATAAAATTAGGTATTTATAGCTTCATACGTGAGATATGATCTTTCATATTGTGTTTAGTGTTTATATAATGGATCCTTTTCAATTTAAAACACGAATTCTTCTCATAAAACGCGCTCACACACGCAAGCGATTGATATCTGAAATGGACAAAACGTGAATCCACAGCTACAACAAATGGATCAATAGAAAATTTGTTTTTCTTTTCTTCCTTCAGATACTACGATAATAAGTAGTGCTTTATTGA